ATGCGGCCGGCTTAAGCAATCCCCTGGCAAACAGGGAAACTGAAGTCCAGTTCTCGGGTAGCGACTGCTGAGGAGGGGTGCCCGAAAAGTCGCCTGTTCTAAGTCACTGACAGAAATTTTGGCATAGAATTCCTGGTAGACACGGGAGCCACCCTTAGTATTCTCCCTCGAAACAAGGTCGAGCTCAGGCGCCAAATGTCCACAGTCAACCTTCAGGCCGCCAACAAAACACAAATACCGACGTTTCCACAAACGGCCATCACCCTAGACCTTGGGTCCAAAAGCCTCTTCCCTTGGGTGTCCATCATAGCAGATACGGCCTTAACCCAGCTCCAGGAATCTCTATGGTGCTACTTCACTCTTCACTGTACCAAACACCTGCTCGGAGTCATATGTTGGTCCCCCACCAGCTCCCCTACATATAAGGAAATGGTCATCAAAGCGATCTTAACGACTTCCTCTGCAAATTACGATTCCGTAGTCATCGCCGGCGACTTCAACACCCCGTCCACCCTCTTCGAGATGGAAGGGAGACGCATCAGATCCTTCAATCAGAAGCTGAAGGATGCAATTAAGACTGCTGGCCTCTCAGAGAAAGTGGGTGATGCTACATGCTGAGGACCTAACGGAAACGCATCGCGCCTTGACTACGTTCTGACGAACGATGAACTTCTCATTGAGGACGTTTGCATCCAACCTCCCCTTGGCCTCAGAGACCACGCTGTAATCACCTTCTCCATGATAACTAGGGAGGCTCTGCAACTGGAGACGCCCAACACCTCCTGTTGCTACAGCAAGACCAACTATGAGAGCATGAGGGACTATCTCATGACCGGTAGACTGGGCTCATCTCATAATAGATGAACACTGGTTGAAGGTGGAGAAAATAATCACTGGGGCCATCAGTCACAGTGTACCAGAAGTAACACACAAACAATTAGTGAGAACCTCATCGTTAAAGCGTGGGACAGAGAGGGGCTTATCCAGAGCAAGAAGCAGACTTGGTTCAAGTGGCGTACATCACGCAGGGAGTCTGACTTCTTGAACTACAGAAGGATTCGCAACCACTGTAACATTAGAGTGTGTAGCGACAGATTTTCCTATCAAACAAACTTGGCGGCGAGGTTACAAAGCAATCCCAAAGACGTGTACCGCTTCATGTCGAGAAGGAAGTCGATCAGCTTTTGGATTTTTCCACATTGAAAAACTCCCACTTGCAATACTCAATCTAAAAAGATTTAACGTTTGCAGCACTTCTGTTTCTGCAGGCACCTCACCCCTGTGTATTCGTCAGCTCACTTCTCAAAAGTTGAAAATTGGCATTATTATTCCTTTGAACCAACCGGTCTACCTCCTGTCAGTGGTTCTTGGGCGTTTCAACTGCCAAACTGCCTTAGCTCTCGGTTCTCCTCGGAGGTCATTCCCCAGGAAATATCTTTCCTGGTTATACATGCACATCTGGAGCTTACGGTTAAACTTGTTGGTCAAGAGCAGAGGATCAAGTGACAAGTGTCTGAAGGTGAGCCAACACAAGTTGTCTTCCCTTATCTATTCTGTCCTTTTGCTGCATTTAGTCTTCAACCCTCTTATTGTTGTTAACTACTTGTTTTCCCAAGAAGTTTAAATCATAGTGACATGTTTGCCCAAAACGCTAGATCCGAAGTTTTGACACGGATAACGTGGTTGTGCACAAAAAGGGACGATAACACCCGAAACAACACACTAGTCTGTACTCGTAGACAAACAGAGGCAGGGCAGAACACCGAACTTCTAAAGAAGTGGCCAACCCATATTTCTAGAATTCCAGTCGCCGTCAGACAGGTGACACAGAGAAGCACTAGCCCGTCACAAACTAGTCCTATCTTGAGCAAGGATCATACCATGCCTGAAAATAGAAGACGACGTAAAAGGCTTTAGAACAAGGCAGCCACAAGCGGTTCGCCACAATCCATAGCACCTTATTCATGGAAAGAAGGCTGCATTACGACACCCGATGACTGCAGTGTTTGCACTAAAGTTGTTTCGGTAGCCGATGAGGCGTTTGCATGCAACCTATGTCACCGATGGGTGCATTGCCACTGCGACACCAAGGTCCCCCGACAATATTATAAGCTGATGAAGAGACGACCATGCAAGTGGTCCTGGTACATCTGTCCAGAGTGCAGGAAAATGCCCGCACTGCGCACAGAAAGCCTGGAAGAGATGCTCTCCGCCACGCAAAAGCTATCAGCATCCTCGGATAAAGTAGGGTTAACACCAAAGGATAACACAGAGAGACCTGGAAACAGACCTAGGGCTCCAGCTGCGGGCACGCCACCTCGCGTGCGGACCATATTAGGTCAAGTCTCCATACCTCCTACCCAGCCCGAGGGGACGTCAAGCGCATGGCCAAAGACATCGACCGCTGAACCCTCTACGAAACCCACTCCAAACATCCCACACAGCGTGACTGAGGAACAACCAGTGGAATTAATCAAAACCATTGGGATGTCGGGCATGCCACTCACAACGAGCCCAGGTCACAAGAGGACCAACTCGATCATTTTGTTCAACGTCGATGTATCGACAAACTCATTGTTGGTCGAGAGGGAACGGTTTGACAGCCGAATGTGGACCGACTACTGTCCGACGCTGGGACTCCCTCATCTCCTTGTAACATTGTCGCCTTTCTCATGGAAGCCGTGCACCCCGAGATAAGCCACTCGTTTACGCGTGCCCTTGAACGCTGCTAAAGAGGTCAAAGACACCCCTCTTCTTTCGCGACAACCGGACGTTGTTAATGCTTGCTAAATTCGGGCCAGGTCTGACAAGCCATGGTCAATAAGAGAGGAGGAGAGAAAGTCAGCGGTTGGAAATCCCAACAGAAACAACACTATAGTTGTACATGGGATTCCAGAATTGCCAAGTGACCACTCGGTTATAGACCGCTACTTCCACGACGTCCAACAATGGCAATGACCCTCAACCAAAGTTGATTTTCACAGTATACCGGCCAACAGCGTCAGTAGACTGCCAAGGCCAGCGCATCTGAAGACCATACCCAGTCCCAGACTACTCGCCGTCCAGTTCGACTCATATGCCTCCCTCACAGACGTTCTACATGCATGGTATAATGCGAAAGATCGCATGGGTGGCTCAATACGTATGTGTGAAAGTAAGCCTAGACCCGCAAGGCAAGAAGAGAGATGGCATCCACCAAGACCTCTGGAGTCAGTGGTCGTCACACAGGCACTGACCAGTGAGTTAGATACATCAAGTAAAGAAGCCCCACTGCCACAGTCCCCACCCAAGTTAAGAACAAAACACAAAAACGGAACAATGCCAGTCCTATGAGGACTGGCGAGGCTAGACCCAACCACGTAAGCGCCCATCCGGCGAAAATACACAACCAGCTCTCCCCTCTCACCAAGCACACTCTAATATGTGTGTACAGCAACGTTAGGGGGCTAAGAGGGAAGGTATGTATTATATTCATCACCGAATCCTGGCTCTCGTCGGACATCTCAGACGAATAGATGCATATCACTGGCATGGAACTCTTCCGCAGGGACAGAGAGCTCAGAGCAGGAGGGGGAGTGGCTCTCTATGTGAACTCCGTTTAAAGGCAAGGGTGGTTAGCGATACGGCCTTAACCCAGCTCCCAGAATCTCTATGGTGCTACTTCACTCTCCACTGTACCAAATACCTGCTCGGAGTCATATATCGGTCCCCCACCAGCTCCCCTACACATAAGGAAATGGTCATCAAGGCGATCTTAACGACTTCCTCTGCAAATTACGATTCCGTAGTCATTGCCGGCGACTTCAACACCCCGTCCATCCTCTTCGAGACGGAAGGGAGACGCATCAGATCCTTCAATCAGAAGCTGAAGGATGCAATTAAGACTGCTGGCCTCTCAGAGAAAGTGGGTGATGCTACACGCTGGGGACCTAACGGAAACGCATCGCGCCTTGACTACGTTCTGACGAACGATGAACTTCTCATTGAGGATGTTTGCATCCAACCTCCCCTTGGCCTCAGTGACCACGCTGTAATCACCTTCTCCATGATAACTAGGGAGGCTCTGCAACTGGAGACGCCCAACACCTTCCCTTGCTACAGCAAGGCCAACTATGAGACCATGAGGGACTACCTCATGACCGGTGGACTGGACTCATCTCACAATAGATGAACACTGGTTGGAGGTGAAGAAAATAATCACTGGGGCCATCAGTCACAGTGTACCAGAAGTAACACACAAACAATCAGTGAGAACCTCATGGTTAAAGCGTGGGACAGAGAGGCTTATCCGGAGCAAGAAGCAGGCTTGGTTCAAGTGGCGTACATCACGCAGGGAGTCTGACTTCTTGAACTACAAAAGGATTCGCAATCTCTGTAACATTAGAGTGCGTAACGACAGATTTTCCTACCAAACAAACTTGGCAGCGAGGTTACAAAGCAACCCCAAAAACTGTACCGCTTCATGTCGAGAAGAAAGTCGACCAGTAAGGGAGTGAATCTTGTCACAGGCCATGACGGGAGTGTCTAAGCAGTCTAGAGATTGCCGAGCTTTTGAGCTCACACTTCCAAGCCCAACTCAGCACTGACACAAGATCCACACCGACTCGCTACGACACCGACCAGGTCGCAAATAACGAATACCTCTGTCACGTCTCTATTACAGAGAA